ATTTAAAAGGGCTCCCAAAAATTTTTTTTGCCTCCCCTCTCCCCGGGAGTTAGCATCGCTAACCTCCCAACGTTCAGGGTGTAATTTAACAGCCTGAAGCCTACACCAACGTTTCTTACAACCCACCACCTGGACCCAGTTAGTGGCAAAGGAACAGGCAGGCCAGTCCAAAAGAAAGGGAAGGGAGAGGCATTTTTGAAGGAGAGCTAAAGAAAATAAGCAAAAGGAAAAAAAGAAAAGAAAAGAAAAGAGGAGGGTGGGGTTGTTGAAACAAGAATTAAAAAGGTAGCAAGTCAGATGACGCGTGTCTGGGATGGATGGATGGATCGAGATCCAGATTAATTTGTTTGGGTGGAGGGAGGTGAAAACACACCAGATTGTTCTCTCTCTCTCTCTCTTTTTCCTTCTAATTTTGCCCTTTTCTAAATGGAAACCATACAGCTTCTCTTCACCGGAATAATGAGCCCAGAGTCGTTTGCTACGAGATGGGTGGCAAATAAATTCAATAAATATATAAAAGAAAATGAGCGGTCCTCCCGTGGAGTTTTGCTTGAAACGTCCCGATGATTGTCGCCGTTTACCTTCCGTCCTCTGGGCTCTTTCTCTGAATCTAGGTCTGTCCTATGCTTGTTAAATAAGGAGAGAGCAACTTTTTAAAACTGGTTTAAGCTGGGACGCAAATGCCGCTTTCCAACAAAGCCGTCTCAAAAGAGGGTCAAGAGACTACGAGATGACTGACGCGTGCCGCCACGTTGTCTCAAGCACCCAAATGGTGGTCAGGTGGCCACGGGAGGGGACCTCAGACCTGCCTCACAAGTCCCCTTATTCCAGCCCATTTTTCTCCATGTCTGGGGGTAAGTCAAGGTCTACTTCTACATGCCTTGCATGGGGTCCTTCTTGGAGTTGGATCAAGACTGTGGGATTGTGAGGGTGGCTTCAAAAAGGAGCAGCACCCCTCTCCTTCCACACCTCTGATGAAGCTTGCAGGCTTGAGGATTTCCAACAAGGTTCTGACTGAGTTGGACAAGGACCTGGATCTCCTCCAGGTTTGCCAGGAGGAAATACCAGAACAAGCGAAGCTGATGTCTCGCCTGCGAAGACCATCTCCGTTTCTCGAAGGAGCGAATGTTGTTTTTCTCAAGCTGGGGAGATCATAGAGGTTATGTTTATTCTGGAACCCGACGTATACACGGGACGGTCCTTCAAGACAGAAGGGGCCTTCCTCCAACTTGTACAAATAAACCCAGAAAGATTGTGGTTGGGCAGCTAAAATCCCCCAAACTCATCCGGGCATTCTTTTGCTCCAATTTCTCTGGTTAAGCTGAGTTCTCTGAGCGTCATTCCTCCAGAATGGTTTAAATAAAACTCAGGGCTTTCCCGCCCTGATCTCTACATTGTAAAAAAGATTATAGATGAAACTAGGTAGCGGATTAAAACTTGGATCCCCAGGAATTTAATAATAATGTCTGTAGGTGCCCATGCAGAAGGCAACCATCCTTCGTCTTAGAGGGCGCTAGCAAGATGAAAATCAGAAAAGATGTCACTTAAAAATGAGGAGGACCTTCCTAATGCTCTTAGACGATGCCACTGAATGTCATAGAACCAAGACCGGGAAGGGATCTCAGAGGTCTTCTAGTCCAACCCACTGCTCTAGGCAAGGAGACAATATACCATCTTGGTCAAATAACTGTCCAGTGTATTTTCGAAAACCTCCAATGGTGGAGCACTCACAACTGCCAGAGAAAATGGATTAATTGTTCTCACTGTCAGGAAATTTCTCCTTAATTCAAGGTTGGATCGCTCCTTGATAATTTTCCATCCGTTGCTTCTTGTCCTGCCTCCCATTGTACATTCTACTCCTTCATTGCAGAAGCAGAACATCTGATTTTCCATTGTAGCTTCTAATAAATGAATAAATAAGAGGTTTTCCTGTCATGTGTGACTCCTTATTCATTCTTTTATAACCATATCCAGATCATCAGAGGATTTAATTATTATGTTACACGGTTTTATGTGTAACAATAGCCAAGTTCCATCTCAAGATTAATCTTGCAGTAGCTATTACAGAAATGGGGCAGTCTAGTTTTCTTGGGAACTAAATTATCTGGGTAGGCAGTCATGGGAGGGAGGGAAGGAAGGAAGGAAGGAAGAAAGAAAGGACGGAAAAGAGAAGGAAAGAAGGAATGGAGAGAAGAATGAAGGGAGGGAGAGGAGATGAAGGGAAAGAAAGAAGGGAGGGAGGGAGGGAAGAAGGAAGGAAGGAAGGAAGGAAGGAAGGAAGGAAGGAAGGAAGGAAGGAAGGAAGGAAGGAAGGAAGGAAGGAAGGAAGGAAGGAAGAAAATATCTATCATAGATTCCATCTAGTCCCAGTGTAAACAAGCAGGTTTTCCTTTAGGCTAAATTAAATTCAGGAGATTAAGTTTCCATTTCTAGAGATTCAAAATGCGCTGTTGCTTTTTAGCCCTACAAAGGCAAAATGGACCAGCTACAGTTGTGAAATGGCTGACCTCAACCGTACAGAATGTTACAGGAGGAACACACCCGTCCGTGTGATGACTACCTCACTGACGGAATGAATGACGCACGGGCCAATCTGACCAGCTTCCATTCTTCCATCTTTTTCAAGGGAGTTATCCCTCCCCACTTTTACGATGGTTTGCTGTCGATGGTCCAAAGCATACTTTATTATCCATTTCACAAGTGGGGATGCTGTTAGGGGAAGCCAGTGCAATATATTGACATGTGCAGAAAAAAACGAAGCCAGGAAATTTTCCATCCCCAATGTAAAATTGATACAGAAAATATGATGTTGGCTACAAACACGATTAGGAAAATGTCTGGCCGATAAGCAAGGCCTGAGTGTTGCGGAGAAGAAATTCTTATCTACTTTACCTCCACTCAGAAAGGATGGATTTTTTTTAGATAGATAGATAGATAGATAGATAGATAGATAGATAGATAATAGATAGATAGATAGAAAATAAATAGATAGATAGATAGATAGATAGATAGATAGATAGATAGATAGATAGATAGAAAGAAAGAAAATAAATAGATAGATGATAGATAGATAGATAGATAGATAGATAGATAGAAAATAAATAGATAGATAGATAGATAGATAGATAGATAGATAGATAGAAAGAAAATAAATAGATAGATGATAGATAGATAGATAGATAGATAGATAGATAGATAGATAGATAGATAGATAGATAGATAGATGGATGGATGGATGGATGGACGGACGGACGGACGGACGGACAGATGATAGAGATAGAAATAGTGATATAGAGATAGATATAATACATATATATATATAAAACTACACACACAAACATATATGTATGTGTATATGTATGTATACACACACACATATATACACACATACACATATACATGTATATATGAAAGCGTCACTAAATTTGACAAATGCTTTCATAAAAACCACCCTATACTAATCTACATAGCCACTGAGGCTAATTAGTCGGTTAGCTTTAATAGTTTGGTTTTATTATTTGATTTAATGTGCTGCCGACAGCCACACTTTACATAAAATTGGCAGACAACACTCTAACGTAAACGAATGCAGTGCAGGAAAGAAGAGCAGGACGCCGTGCGCAGTCGATTCCCCCAGAGTGGGACGCGGAGTTTCCCACCCAATCAGTGTGATGAGTTTCCCTCTTCCAAAGACCTGGTGGAAAGGACTACTAAGGGGAAATTTCCTGGCAGAACAATTCACCAGTGGAACGGCTGGCCTTCAAGAGCTGTGGGTGATCCTATCCCACTTCAGACAAATGACCGTCCGGCCTCTCCTTGAAAAGCTCCAGTGATGGAGCACCCACATTTTCTGGGGGCAAGAATAACCTTGGAGGTCTTCTAGTCCAACCTTCTGCTCAAGCAGGAGACCCCAGACCATTTCAGACAAGTGGCTGTCCAGTCATTGAACAATTAATCAGTGGAACGTGTTGCCTTCAGAAGTTGTGGGTCCTTCATCACTGGAGGGATTGGACAGCCCCTTTGCACCCAAAACTATAAAGGACAGAATAAATGAGCAACTGCATTGGGAGTCTTTAAAGGCCTTCACCTTACTGTAAAGTAGAATAATCCCCATTACTACTCACTAATAGAATTACCAATAAAGGAGAATATTTGTAGAGTTGGAAGGAGGGATCCTTGGTGCTCTCTGAGCGGGGTGGTTTTCTTGGAGACGTTTCCTGACCCAACTAGGTAACATCCGAGCACTGATGATGTTCCCTGGTTGGGTCATGAAACGTCTGCAAGAAAACCACCCCGCTCAGAGAGCACCCAGGATCCCTCATTAATAGAATTTCTCCGCTGGTTCCACACCTGCCTTTTTTTTTTAATGCATCTGACCAACATAGGCAGGATTTATCCTCCAAACTTGGTGCTCACCATTTCAACCTCCCCAATTTGATTCTGGCAAAATAGGACTTTCTGGATTAACCTGCAAAAGGAGATCTTTCTTTCTCCCCCCCCCCCCCCCCATTCCAACGGCCTTGCTGGACATCCAAAGACGAAGGAAGAAATCGGGCTAAATACGAAAGAAAGAAGACACTGAACTTCATCCGCGGCGCCTATTCTGGATATTTGACAGCATCTTTGCAAAGGCCGGTTGGGATCTGTTCTCCCTGATTCCCACCGTCTGAATCACAGTCGCCCCCCCCTCAATAAAAGTCCCCCCCCCCAAGATTTCCCTCCCCTCAATGCCCCCGAATCTGGGATTCCCAGAGCGTGTTGGGCGCTGGATAGCCGAGCAAGTCAGGAGACCCCCAAGGAGGGGCAGCGCGTTCCCAAGAGCCCCTTAAGGCTCCTGCGCAGGGGACCCCCTCCCCGGTCTCTGGGAGGGGGCAGGCTCCCCAAAGGGCCCCCAGGCAAGAGCCCTTCCCTCCCACAGGAGACCTTCCCGTCTCTGCCGCGCCTTCTGCCCTCTTCCCTTTGCCCGGGACTGGCCGGGACGCGCGTTCCGACGTGCTCACCTTCCCGCAGCGCGCCTCCTCCGCCTCGTCCTCCTGCTTCGCTGCCGCTGCTGCCCCCGGAGGGCTCGAAAGCCCCCTTGCCGCCCTCCCGAGCCTCCGCGCCGCTTTCCCGGGGCGTCCCGTTCATGCCGACGGCCGCTTCCTCCAGGTCCAAGAGGTGGCTGACGCTGAAGTTCTTGCGCGCCTGGGGGTTGTCTGCAGGCTCCAGGATCCGGACCGGGTTGGGGGCGAATTGCTTGTCCATCCCGAAGGCGGCCACCGCGTCCATCGCGCCCGGATCCAGCTTGTGGGGCAGGAGACCCCCGCCCGGCCGGCCGGCCAGGAGCTACGATCTGGCGAGCCTCCCTTGGCTCCCCCCAAAGCAACACACCGGCCCCCCCAAAAACTTTTCCCTCTGCTTTGATTTCCACCCTTTCCCCCCCCCTTTCTTCCTCCTCCTACGTTTCCCCGGTGGGGTGTGCGCGTGTATGTGTGTTTGTGTGGGCCTGCTTCTGAGGGTGTGTGGGAGTCCTTATTGTATTCACTGTTTCTTTCTTTCTTTCTTTCCTTCCTTCCTTCCTTTTTCTCTTTCTTTCTTTCTTTCTTTCTTTCTTTCTTTCTCTCTCTCTTTCTTTCCTTCCTTCCTTCCTTTTTCTTTCTTTCTTTCTTTCTTTTCTTTCTCTCTCTTTCTTTCTTTCCTTTCTTTCTCTCCTTTCTTTCTTTCCTTTCTTCCTTCCTTTTTCTCTTTCTTTCTTTCTTTCTTTCTTTTTTTCTTTCTTTCTTTCTTTCTTTCTTTCTCTCTCTCTTTCTTTCCTTCCTTCCTTCCTTTTTCTTTCTTTCTTTCTTTCTTTTCTTTCTCTCTCTCTTTCTTTCTTTCCTTTCTTTCTCTCCTTTCTTTCTTTCCTTTCTTCCTTCCTTTTTCTCTTTCTTTCTTTCTTTCTTTCTTTCTTTTTTTCTTTCTTTCTTCTTTTTTTCCCTTTCTTTCTGTTTCTTTCACTCTCTCTCTCTCTGCAGGTCTCTCCTGTGTGAGCTTGTGGACCAGGGAGAGAAAGAACTTCTCCAAACTTTTTACTCGGGATCTATCCCCCACTCACCCCCCATCCTCCCCAGCGCACCGTCGCCACAGCTCCAGAAAACTTCCCTTCGGTCAAACGTTGGAACCAAACTTTGTTTTTTCTATCCAAGTTGAAATTGACCCATCCCCTGTCGCTGTGCTGTTTTCGCCTGAAACTGACTGACTGACAGAGCCTTCTTGGAGTCCATAAACTTCCTCAGCCGCCCTCCCCCTCCTTCGCCCCCCCCTCCCTCAACCTGCCCTTCTCCCCATTTCAACTCCCCCTCCCAATTTGGAAAGAGGAAGAGTTAAATTAGAGGAAAGCCAACCCACTTATTGAGTTTAAAATATATATATTTGGGGGGGGCGGCGAGAAGAGAGAAATTCCTTCTTTGCATCCTTTCCCCTGGACCCCGCTGTCTGTCCCCCCCCTCATAAAATTGGGCTGCCTTGCACAACCTTATGAAATCAAATCCACAGACATTTGAAACTTGCAAATTTCCCAGAAGGAAAACAAAACTAACCGCCCCCACCCAAATATATATAATAATAATAACCAAGGAAAAATGGACTTCAGGGGCTTATAGCAAATTGTCACCCCCACAAGGGTGGTAACAGGGCAGCCTCTGTTTCCCTAAATGGGTCACTTTTCAAGGGCGGAGCTATGCAGATGAAGGGGGCAGTCTTATCCAATTAGGAGCCGCCATCTTTCCATGCAACTTTTAAAACTTCCCTGCTATATAAAAAGTTTTCAAAAAAATAAATACCTCTTTGTCTCCTGTTGTTTTTAGGACAACGGTGTGGCTATGGTTTCCTGGATTCCTTCTGGATTGATTTTTTTTTTAAATTTTCCAGTCAACTCAACAGCTCTAAGATCGCCTGGTGGTCTCTTATCCATAAAGGAGAAAAGCAAATGGTTGAATCAGAATGTCCAAAAAATACACATAAGACCATTTCAATCAGTTCCCTATTTTCTTTCCGTCTCTGAAAGATTAAACAAACAGAAATCAAAACTTTTGAGGGAAACTTACTGTAGTCCTCAACTTACAATTATTCTTTAGTGACTGTTTGTAACTTTGAATGGTCTCTAAACAAATGGTTGTAAGTCAAGGACTACCTGTAGTAGAAAATTCACTGAAACTTCCAGAGAAAAAGTTGCTAAACTTTCTTTTCCTAGTTTTCTTTTTCCCCCCACAAGAGAGGGCTGCAAGCATTTCATGGGGAGATGAGTTCCGAAGGTGGGGAGCCATTGCTTTAAAAAGCGCCTTCCCACCAGCCTAATGATGAGAGAAAATAGCAAAACCTCAGTAGATAATAGTAAAGTCTAGGAAAGCTTGTAAGCCTTCTTTCAAATAACCCAACCCTGAAAAAAGAAACAAACAAGGATGGTGAAATCAACAGGACCAGGAAACTGGAGTTCCTTCTAGCTTTTAGCCCAATGCTCTCAATCTTGTTAGCGCTTGATCCTGTGGGCCAGTCTGGAAAAAGAGCGTCCGGCCCTTAAAGGCCATCCTCAACGGTGTCTTGAGAAGGTCCCAAGAGACCACCAGGACAGCCCTGAGGGGAGGTGGAAGTTCTCCAGAACTCTGCTCCAGGTCAGGGGCCAGGCAGAAATAAAACAGGCAGCAGCCAGAGGTCTCTCCCCCTGAAGGCCGGCCTGACCTCCGACACCGGAGCCAGAATTCAGCCCTGTGGGGTAGACCAGCCGTAGCGTCAGAGGAGGCTTCGGTTGAGTTCTCAGATCGGAATCGCTGGAGAGGCCGAGAGAGACGGTGGCTCTGAAATTTACCTCAGAAGGTGGCAGTCGCCAAACACTTTGGTTCTGAGGAGAAAAGGTGGAAGAGTCAAGCTCAACTTTATCATATAATGTGTTGAAGGTCTCCTCCTCCTCCTCCTCCTCTTCCATCTCGTCCTCCTCCTTTTTCTTTCTCTCGATAATTGGCCCAAAGTCACCCAGCCAGTTTTCATGCAAAGGCAGGACTCGAACTCACCGTCTCCTGGCGATTGGCTTAAAGTCACCCAGCTGGCTCTCTTGCTTAAGGCGGGACTAGAATTCACCACCTCCTTCTGATGATTGGTCCAAAATGACCCAGCTGCCTTTCATACCAGGACTAGAACTCCCAGTGTCTAGCTGGGCGCCTTACCCACTAGATGCTCCTTTAGGGTCCCTCCCTTCTCTCCGTTTCTCTGCCAGCAGTCTGGGATGGGAGGCCAGCCAAGGTTGGGAGGGGGGAGAGAGACCCCCAAACACATCTGAGTAGCTGCTCAGGGCGTTAAAAAAAACCACGGTGGAGAGCATAATCAAGTCTCGGTTCTCCCCACGGATGCTCAAGTCTGTTGATTGCTGGTATTTGGAAAGTGAAATATGAGGGTTTCATTTTTTTATGATCAAAGGAGAGCCCAGTTCTAAAGCAAGAGGGAGGGAGGGGTTGGTGGGTGGGGTGGGGGGAAGAGAGAGATTAGGACTTGCCGATTTTGGGAGGGGGGAGGTGGAGAGTTTGCTTGGCAGGCGGCTAAAGTTTCTTTAGACACGCCAAGACGTATGTGCTCTGCGCCAGGGGAGCCCCAGAATTACCCCTGGACCTTTCGCACAGCTGGAACAGTAAGTCATTGAGAAAATTTTGGAGGTTGGAAGGAAGGTGTGTGTGTGTGGGGGGAGATTGGTAATCTCACAGCGCCCTCCCACCACAACCCCCTGCCCTGCCCTGCGGGTCAAGGTGGTGATTTGCAAAGTCAAATAAATAAATTAAACAAGCCGCATTAATGCCATTTCCTACCTCGTTCGGGTACTTAAAGGCACGGCGTAGGACCCCAGGGGGGGGTGGGGGTCTGCTTCTCCTCTCCCCCCCCCTCCCCCTCTGCCCTATTCTTCTCTCCAGCCTCACAATTTAGATAGGATTAAATGCATTTAGTGCCCGTCTGGTTCTTTTTAAGAGGTCCCGGTTGTAAGGAAGAGTGTGCCGGCCGGTCTGTTCACAATTAAAGAGAATCAGGTGCTTTTATCTCTGTTTGTTTGTCTCCTTCGATGGATGAAGGAGGGTATCAGTTTTCCATCAATAAATTTGCAGATAAGGAATAAGCAGCTGCTAACAAGCTTATCAACCTTACATTGCAAGTACTAATTCATATATATATATAACATATAACAATTCAGTGGAACAGCTTGCCTCCAAAAGTTGTAGGTGCTTCATCACTGGAGATTTTTAAGAAGAGACTGGACAACCAATTTGTCTGAAATGGGATAGAGTCTCCTGCTTGAGCAAAAGGCTGGACAAGAAGATCTCCAGGGTCCCTTCCAATCCTATTGTTCTATGCTCTATGTTCCTCCCTCCCTCTATTTCTTTATCCACTCTCTTGGCTCTTCAGTCCCTGCGTGGCGCAACTTGGTTTTTCTCTTCCTTTCTTGAGTCCTCCACCACCCTCATCACCCTCCAGCCGGTTACACTTTTGACCTCTTGTGTTCCATTTGCTCAAAGAGATGATCTGCAAGGTCAAAGCAATAAATTTGCTTTATTTACACTAGAGGTTAAAGGAAGGTGTTTGCAGGACATGTGTCTCTTTCTTCCCCCCCCCCCCCAATTCTTTACAGAGCGAGAAGAATATTTGGTGGGTTGGTCTTCTGTCAAAATCAGGAGGGGCAGGAAGGAGAAGGAAAGATATTCACACGATACAGCCTGTGTGAAACAATTCTGAAATATTTGGAATGAAGTCCCCAAAGTGCTTTTCCAAAAAGCAACTTCTTCAGAGAAGCTTCTTGGCTGAGAAGCGAAACGTTTTCAGAGAGAAAAAAAACCAAGGCAGTCTAGTTGCTTTTTGGAAAAGCAACTTTGGGACAACCATGACCTGGATGATGGGAGAACCTCCGTAGACGTTTGGAAGGAAGCTTGTTTAGTTCAGACCAATATACACCCCACACACCCAGCGAGAAAATAGATGATCTTCAAGCAAACAAATTCTACAAGGAGAAACTTTAAACTCTGCTACTTAGAAAAACAGACAGTCAAAGAAGATTAATGCTTTCAAATTGTGGATTTAGAGATCATTGCTAAAAAGTTTTTTTTTTAATGTTTATTCTACATTTTTAAAAAAAATTTATTATAAAAAAAGATGCTGAGACTCTGGAAAGAGTGCAGACAAGAGCAACAAAGATGATTAGGGGACTGGAGGCCAAAGCATATAAGGAACGGTTGCTGGAATTGGGTATGTCTAGTTTAACAAAGAGAAGGACGAGGGGGGACATGATAGCAGTCTTCCAGTATCTCAGGGGCTGCCCCAAAGAAGAGGGAGTCAAGCTATTCTCCAAAGCACCTGAAGGCAGGACGAGAAGCAACGGATGGAAACTAATCAAGGAGAGAAGCAACCTAGAACTAAGGAGAAATGTCCTGATAGTTAGAACAATTAATCAGTGGAACAGCCCGTCTCTGGAGGGTCTCCAAGTGGGTGATTCTACAAATTCATTTTCTGGATATTTCAGTAAGCAGATTTCCTTCCAATCATAGGAGCTTCCTATCCACTAAAGATGGTTTCAGTCACCCCCCTTTTTTTCTCTGTTGTTACCTCCCCCATCTCTCTCTCTCTCTCTCTCTCTCTCTCTCTCTCTCTCTATATATATATATATATATATATATATATATATATATATATATATATCAAAGTCGCACATATTGAATCCAGATGTGTTCTTTTGCACACAAGCCTTCCAGCAATTTAATTAAATTTCCCCCAGACAGCCAGGAGGGGTTCTTAATGATCAAATTTCTCTGGACCTCTTCCTAAAGTGCCCCCACCATTCCTTGCCTCCCTGGTGGATAGGTGATGGCTTCTCTCCAAGTCCAATCAATGTTAACAAAGGACTAACTTCGGCCTCCGATAATGTTTGGGTAAGAAAGGGAAGGGATGAGGAAGGGAAGGGAATCCAAATCACATAAAGTATTAGTACCACTCTGTCCTTAGTAAGACCACACCTGGAATACGGCATCCAGTTTTGGTCGCCACAATATAAAAAAAAGATGTTGAGACTCTGGAAAGAGTGCAGAGAAGAGCAACAAAGATGATCAGGGGACTGGAGTCTGAAACAGATGATTAACGGTTGCCAGAATTGGGCATATCTAGTCTAGTGAAAAGAAGGACAGTCTTCCAATATTTGAGGGGCTGCCACAAAGAAGGGGGGGTCAACCTCTTCTCCAAAGCACCTCCAAAGGCAGGACAAGAAGCAACAGATGGAAACTGATCAAGGAGAGAAGCAACCTGGAACTAAGGAGGAATTTCCTGTGGAACGGCTTGCCTCCAGAATGTGTGGCTTGCCACCAGGTTTTCTAGCTTTCTATAAATAAAACGCTTCTTGTTTAGCCACAATCATCACACATTCTGTCAGTGACTTTCCCCGAAATCAGATTTCACTTGATTTTAAGAATTAGGTCTGTCAAACGGCGAGGTTGAGGGAGACGGGAGAGAGAAAAGGAAAGATGGGTCCCTGGGAATTTTGCAAATTTTTGCAGAGGTAGGCACAAGGGATCAAAGGGGGTGTAGGGGGGGAGCGAGCCCCCTTCTGAGAGAGGAAAGCTAATAAAGTCAACTTCAACTAGACTTTATAAATTGCAAACAGATGGCCCAAATAATAGTGAGGTTTTTGAACGGGGAAAACGTCTGCACGCCGTGTCAAAGGGCAGATTAATTTCTCAAGATAAGAAACTGCTAAGTGGGAGGGGGGAGTATTGAGTGTCCCCAAAGATACCCCTGCCCCCCCCATTCCAAAAACATTGCAATCATTCAACAGCCAGCATTGCTCAGAAAAGTCTCCAAGCGTTTCCTCTGCCAGGTTGGTTGCTAATCTGTGCCCCATTTCTGATTGTGGAAAGATTTTTCAGTGTAAATGTAAATGAGGATGAAAAGAGGAGATATCCAGACATCTATCTATTTATCTGTATCCCGCCTTTATTATTTTTACAAATAATTCTCTCCTTGATTAGTTTCCATCCGTTGCTTCTCGTCCTGCCTTCTGGTGCTTTGGAGAATAGCTGGACACACACACACACACACACACACACACACACACCCCGCTCTTCTTTGTGGCAGCCCCTCAAATACTGGAAGACTGTGATCATGTCAGAGAGATTTTCCATGCATTCTTCACCTGGTTTCATTTTTTTGTAAAAAAAGAAAGCCTTAAATTTAAAAACCAAAATTTTTAAAATAAAAAAATATATATGCATCTTAAAAAAAAAAAATCTTCCAGGCCAAGCGCACCCTCTAGAGGTCGTTTGAACCTGAAACTCGGATGTTTTTCAGCAGACAGACATCTCCTCCAACCTGCAGAGGGCAAAAGGGAAAATAGAAATAAAAAAAATAAAACCGGACAGAGGTTCTTTGCAATCGAAAGCTACGCCTGCATTTTTTTTTTTCTCTTCCGCTTCCTGCATCTTCCCGGATGCGAAAAAAGAAAAAGAAAAAAAGAAAAAGAAGAAGAAGAGAAATCCGTGTGAATGGCCAGCTTCAGAAGTGCAAAAAAAACAAACAATTGCGGAGTTTTTGATCCGAGGCGGTGCGTAAAAAAACGCGCTGCAAAATTTGGAGCGGGCAGGTTTGGATAAATTGCAAAGTAGAAAATATCTGTTATTCCTCCTCCATCAGCTAAGCTTCTTTCTGCAAACGTGGGGGGATAAAACGAATAAAAGAATAAAAGAGAGAGAGAGAGAGACCTTTGCAAAAGAGGAAACGAGGAAAACAAAAGGGAAGCCGTAGCTGGTTACTCTCGAGTAAGACAATCGTAAATTGGGTGAGCGCATGATAGGTGCGTAAGAAGAAGAAAGTAGAATTTTTATATATTAAGCTTGGTTACTACCCACGAAGTGTTTTTAGTTTTTAATGCTTTTTTAAAAAAAGGAATGCATAAATTAAGTTGTATTGATCAGGAAATAATAACAATAAGGATAATTAATAATAATGCACAAAAAGGGGAAGGTAGAAGTTTTATATGTTAATAAATCAAGCAAGGAAGAAGTCTTTTGGGGCTTTTTAAGGGCAATGCGTACAATCAAGTCTGTATTGATCAGGAAATAATATCAAATAACAACAATTAACAATAATAATATTGCACAAGAAGGGGAAGGTTGAAACAGCCTGCCCAAAAGATAAAAGTTTATCCTCGTGGTCTTTTATCCTTGGGGATCTGCTACAAATTGGTTTGTTTACTCTTGGAGTTGTCATTAAGTTTTCGTTATTCCTGAAAGTGGGGCTTGTTTTCTTGTGTTGTTGTTATTTGCTTTGCTTCCTCTTCAGCCAGGCTGGTTGCCACTGTTTTTAATTTATTTTTTTTGACAGTTTGCTACTTCTCAGCAGCTGCCTAAGGCCCTCTCCAAGGGGACAGTTGACTTCTACAAAATAAGAGGACTGGGGTTTGTTTGTGTGTGAGTGTGACATCCCTGCCCTGCCCTGCCTCTTAAACAGCTGGCCTTTTTCGATTAGCCTCCCTCCAGCCTCCTCCTGCAGGCAAAGATAATTTATTTTGCCAAGTTTTCTTTGCCTTATTATAGCCGCAGTGGTCATTCTGAGTTTCTTTTGGGTAGCTGGACTAGAGATCCTTTCAAAAGAGAAGAAAATATAGCCATGATTTAGCACAGGTTCAATCTCTGGGTCTGTCTGGAGAAGTTCTTGAAATGTTACAAGGTCTTTTTTCAAACTGTAGGACCTGGGGGGCTTTCCGGGGGTCTCTACACCCCTCCCCGCCTGGAATTTTGGTCTGTTCCGGCAAAACCTTTCTCACATTCTGGAGGTGGCAGTTGAATGAAAGAATTCTGCCGGGGAGGGTGGGGGCAGCCATGGTGACTAGAAACATGAAGGATAACGATGACCTTCTAATCTAAGCCATACATCTGGTCAACGTTTTCACATCCAGGGCTAGGAGATGTTAGGGTCCAAAAGCCATATTGAGATGATCTTGGGTTCTCCTGCGTAGACAACATCTCCAGGGCCCCTTCCAAGAATTCCCGTTGGGACCGGATGGCATGATCTCCATCCTTGGTTGAAAGGTCTTCAGGATGGACCTGAAGGAATTAGGTTGTGTTTCTCTGCTCCTACTTCCCTGAAATTCCATGGACAGTTTTTAATCTGCTCCCAACTTGGGAAGGTTGTTCTTACCTGCCAAAGTATAGTGTGCAAATGGCAAAGGTTGGTTAGATCTTCTAGGAGTTGAGAGCCATCTCCTTCCTGAGGTCTCATAGGTTCATGCCAGAAATCTCACGGGATTTCAGCATTCTTGCTTGGAATCTCATGGGAGCTACGGAGAGATGGCCAAAATTTCATGAGATTTCAATCATAATTTAAAATTAATTTAAGGGGAAGGGGTGTGGTTCTTCCTGCTGCTCTTTCGTCTCCTCCTCTTCCTCCACCCCTCCTCCTCCATCTCCTCCTCCTTCATCATCTCCTCTTCCTCCTCTCTTGCACTGGCAAAAGATAAAAAAAATGGCCCTGAAGTCAAACTTGGTTGCACCCAAGTTCTTTTCTTAGCAATGTTATAGAAATGCCTTAGTATCCTCTTCCTTTGAAAATATTTTCCCTGCAACTTCTCAGCCTTGTCTGCAGCCCTGAGGTTTCCTTGTGGTCTCCCATCCAACTTCTCACCCGATCCAAACCGGCTTAGCTTCTGAAGCCAGCCTTGCTGAGCAAGGATCTTCCCCTGGGTGTCCGGTTACGGTTTGAGTAGCTTCCTCCGCTGATGCCTATTTATTTTATGAATAAAAATCTGTATGCTTTGGTTTCGAAACAGGCCGAGGAAAAGCTGAAGTGAAGTAACCGCTGGGCTGGGCGTGCAGGGAGTCCTTTTTGGATGATTATTGAAAAGAATGCCGTTTCTTCATGGCTTCCGTAGAATCATCTTCGAATATCAGCCTTTAGTAGACGCTATCTTGGGGTCTCTGGGATTACAAGATCCCGAACATCAGGAGTTGCCAGAGAGGTAAGCAGCTTTAAGGACAAAGAAGTGGAAAAGGGGTTTCTTTCCACACCGTCCTAGCACAAAAAATGTTTTATTTTGCATTGTTATTTCCCACCTTTATTAAGGAGATTGCAAAGCCTGTCTCTGCCCGTCTCTCGTATTCATCCAGTCTTTCTCCGTTTGTAAAAGCTCCAGGTCTGCGGCTGAAGACCAGAGCAAATTTCTGGTTCTCCAGAAGCTGTTGGAAAGCGAGTCCCAGTCGGCTTTTTACCAAGAAGGCGTGAGCTACACCTTGTTGAAGGTCTCTGAGCTTGGGCTGGTCCAGGCGGCTGAAGTCCTTTTGCACAATGGGGCAGATATCACCTTTGAAGGTCGGGCTTCCCACCCTCCCCTCTTTTGCCTTTATTTTAGAGGAGAGGGAACACTTCAGGAGGCATTGACCTGGGGGGGGGGAGCTTCCTTTAGTTGTGTGCACACACACCCTGCCCTGCCACTAAAGGGGATTGCCCTTCAAATTTGCAATTTGCTGCTTTTAAATAAGTATAGTTTGTCGTTGCGCTGCCTGTTTCTCACCAGTAGATGTCGCTGTGCCACTGTTTTCATTTAGGATTACACCAGGGAGAAGATCGGTGTAGTAGGTAATCCTCAGACTTAGGACTGGTCAAGTTAGGACAGACAGATACACGGTTGTTAAGTGAATCGGGCTTCAGATGGTCACTAAAGGGGATCACGTGAGCCCCGAAACGCTGCAACTGTCATAAATGTGATTGCCAAGCGTCTGAATTTTGATCACGCGACCGTGGGGGGGATGCTGCAATGGCCGTACGTCGCTTCTTTCAGTGCTGTTGTAGCTTTGAACGGTCACTAAATGAACGGTTATAAATCGAGGACTACCTGGAATCCTCCTCCTGGCCTCTAGCTCCACCCCTTTGCCCACAGGCCCCGCCTTAGTTGCTATGCAGAGCTAAGAATGGCAAGGCTCCGCCCCCCTGAGTCCTGGGTTCCAAGCTCCTCCTACAGAGGGCTGTTTCCAGGGCAACATGGCGGCCTCCCTGCAAGGCTGGCTAGCTGGTCTTTTCAGGGGTCCTTGACTGAGGGGGGTAATGGGGAGGAAGTGGTGGGCCGGCTGCTTCTTCCCCTGCTGGCTTTCCTATTGCGGTGGGACGGTGCTTAACGGTAGGCTTTTTTCTTGCCAGCTCTTACAACACCAGCCTTGCAGGGTAGGGCAGCCGATGTTTTCAGAGGTTTTTTTTAAGACTGAGAAAGTAGAAGGGAATATCAGTAGCCCAGGGTTGAACTGTGGCATCCTTGCGGCCTTATGAGTGTGGCATTTTATTACCCAGCTAGATAATGTCATCAGTGCTAGAAGGGAGTAGGGTGTGTGGGGAGGAGGAGGAGGAGGAGGCCTATGGGGTCTTTAATGCTCTCTGAGCAAGGCTACATCATCAGTGCTACAAAGGAGTGGGGTGTCAACGCTGCAAATACTGTATATTCTTGCTTTGAAAATGTCTTGCTTTGACAATATTCTTGCTTTGACAATGTCTTGCTTCTAGCACTGATGGTGTTACCTAGTTGGGTCATGAAACGTCTGTAAGAACACCACCCAGCTCAGAGAGCGCCAGGGACCCCATTCAGAAAAAATAGCCTTTTTTTGCCTAAAAGAGAATTTGGAGATTAAAAACATCCCTAACAAGGGGAAAGAGACCCATCTGGAGTTTTGCATTTCATGTTTTCTGATGAAAATCCCCCGCTTTCTGTAGATCCGGTCACTTACTACACAGCCTTGCACATCGCGGTGCTGCGGAACCAGCCTGACATGGTGGAGCTGCTGGTGCAACGCGGCGCAGACATCAACCGCCGAGACCGGGTTTGTAGCCAGCCACGCCCGTTGTGTATGTTTGTGTGTGTGTGTGTGTGTGTTTAAAATGACAATTCCTGGAACTTCTGATAGTTCTGAGGTTTTGCAATCCCAATGCAGACGTGGCCGAAAAGGGTGGGATAAAAAGATTGGGGTGCTGGTTCTCTTTGTCAGCAGTCCCCCCCCCCTTCGTGTCAATGGAGGAAGAAAAACAAGGAATGGGGTGTGTGGGTCCCCACAGGAGGGAGAGGGGTAGAAAAAAGGGGAGATGATAGGAATAATATAACCCCTTCCTTCTCCAATTGTTCTTAGATTCATGAAAGTAGTCCTCTGGATCTAGCCAGTGAAGAGCTGGAACGCTTACCTTGTCTGCGGCGTCTCCTAGAACTCGGGGCCGATATCAACGCTGCTGACAAACATGGTCAGTGGTTCTGCTTTTTATCTCTGCTTTCATTAAACCACAGCAGTTCACCTCTAACCTCTAGCGTCTTCTGGAATCATCCTTTAGAAGCCAGGGATTCGTCTCCCAGAATCCCCTCCCTGGGATACCACTAAGAACTCTGGGCCTTGAAAGATGCCCTCCAGATGCCTGGTCTTTCTTTTCCTCCTCCCTCCTCTTCCGCTCTTCCTCTAATCCGTCTCTCCTTCCCCTCCAGGAAAGACAGCTTTGCTGCACGCGCTGGCCAGCAGCGACGGGGTCCAAATCCACAACATAGAAAACATCCGGCTTTTGTTGGAAGGAGGCGCAGACGTCAAGGCCGCCACCAAAGATGGGGACACGGTGTTCACCTTCATCATCTTCCTGCTGGGCGAGACGGTGGGCAGCGACGCCGAAGAGGCCAAGCTGATCAACCGCTTCTGCTTCCAGGCCACACGGCTGCTGATGGCCCACGGGGCCGACCCCAGCGAGTGCCCGCCTTACGAGTCCCTCACCCACCTCTGCCTCAAGAGCTTCCGGCTGCATTTCCCGCTGCTGCGCTTCCTGCTGGAGTCGGGGGCCTCGCCCAACTGCTCCCTCCACGGACCCGCCTGCTGGTCCGGCTTCGACACCATCTTTGAGCGCCTCTCTTCCCACCTCAGCGAGTCGGAGGACGACAGCTTCTCCTTAGACTTGCTGCAGAAAGCCGAGACTGCCCTGGAGCTGATGATGGCCAGCGGCCCGGTGGTCAAGCTGCCCAGCAACTTCCAGATCGATCTGAGCCACTGCCGGTACCACCAAGAGAAGATTCAGGCGCTTTTTGGGAAGCTGAAACAGCTGGAGAACAGCCCGCCTACCTTGAAGCACCTCTGCCGAGTCTACCTGCGGCAGTATCTCCAACCTTGGCCCGTGGATGTCAAGGTGAAGGCCCTCCCTCTCCCCAACTGCTTGAAGAGGTACCTCCTTATAGATCCGAGCGCCTCTCTGGAGCAGGTGTGACCTCCCCAGATGAGAATGGACCTCCGACGTTTGCCATCCCGGATCTCGCCATGCTGCGCAGCCAGTGCATGAACTGCCAGATCTCCGTTCAGTGTCCAACAGCCGGTTACGTGGTGTCTGTGGCAGCCCGCTTGAGTGGTGGCTACATGGGAATGGATTGGACTGGGGGGAGGTGGAATCTGCAATGGAATCGCATCCTGATGGCAGCTAAGCTGGTGGAAAAGCCCTTTGTGGAGTTGTGTGCCAGCCGAGGAAGGATTTGCCCCTCTGTGCCAAAGGATTGTGAGGTTGTGTAGGCTTATGCTGGAGCTGTATTGAACATCCAGGGTTGGGACAGGAATGCCGACAGCTGATTAAAAGGATGCCTCTATGCTGTTCACCTCTATTGTTGTGCTGTGGGTAAAACACCCGTTCCCCTTGGTGATAAATCTATTACAGGTAGTTCTCGCTTAGCGGTAAGTGGGAATGGGAAGTCAGTTGCTAACTGAGTCATACCACGTGACATCATAGGAGTTCACTAAGTGACACTGGTGGTTCCAGAAATCCTAGCTGCCCTTGTTAGCCAAATCCCATGTGGTCACAGCGTCCCACCGTCATGCGATCATAGCTTTCGACTTCCTGCTGTCTTCCCCATTGACTTTACAACAGGCTTGCAACCGGAATTGATCACAAAATTTCTCTTGCCAAGTGAGACAGTTGTGAAGTGAGTTTTGCCCCATTTTTCAACCTTTCTTGCCGCAGCTGTTAAGTGGATTGCTGAGGTTGTTAAGTGAGTGCAACTATCATAAATTTGAACCCGTTGCCAAACATCCAAATTTTGATCCCGTGGATCACGGGGATGCTGAAACAGTTGTGGGAAGCAACCACAACTTCCGAAGGCAAGCCGTTCCACTGGTTGATAGGTTTCACTGTTAGAAATTTCTCCTTACTTCTAGATTCTCTCCTTGGTTAGTTTCCATCCGTTGCTTCTTGTCCTGCCTTCTTCTGGTGCTTTGGAGAGTAGGTTGACCCCCCCTTCTTTGTGCAGCCCCTCAAATATCAGAACCCCGCTATCATGTCACCCCTGGTCCTTCTCTTTACTGGACTAGACGTACCGAATTTAAGATACCCAATTCAGGATCTTCAGCCTGTAATTCTGCACTTCTTTACACCCAAAGCTGCTGTTCCATCAATCCAATTGACTGTGAATTTTTTTAAAAAAAAATGCAAAGCAAAATGCAGCATCGTGAGCCTGCTCATTTTTTTCCCCTTCCCTCCCCACCCTTTTTTTTTTATTATTCCTTGTGTCATTTTGTTTAAAAACGCAGGATTGTTCTTAAAGCCAACTGGGAATTTTTGTGGTGGTTTTTTCTGAAACGTGGGAAGAAAAAAAAAACTCAAACAAGCCAGGAACATGATGGCAGATTCTAGAGATTCAATTCCGCAACTTTCCTGCACCATGCAAGGTGGGTCATTCAGATCGTTTTTCCAACCATCATAACAAACCAACATAGGAGACTACAATCACGCTTACCTTTACTTCCCCTGTCCCAGTCCATTTTACCGCCCAGGGACGCAACCGCCTTTCCCTCCCTGCTCCCCACCTCTTCGAGACCCCAGCCGGTCTCCCCTCTTTCCCCTTCATCCTGGCCTGCTGGAAACCATGGTTTGCCCTGGAGCACCATGGGAACGCTTCCTGGATCTCCTTCACCTCATGGCTAAGGTATAGACGTGATAGATCTCATCTGGAAAATTCTCCTGTTTCTCCTGGGCCAAAAGACTCAGCCCGGCATGGCGGATGATCTTACACACCACATCCAGATCCCGGCAGAGGCTACTGTCCACTTCGTCCATGATGACCCCTTCTTGGGCCATGTTGTCCTTAATGACGATGATGCCGTTGGGACAGAGTCCTAGGCGGCACCTTTCCAAGAAGCTCAGGAGATGCTCGTCCGTCAGGTGTCCTGTTGGGAAAGGAGAAACGGGACCAGGTGAGATCCTTGCAGGATCCAAGAGGGTCCCAGGTAGACCAGATAGCAAAAACGGCCAGAGGAGTTAACTGTACTTTATTGTCAGGGCTACGTTGACGGACTCTTTGCCAGTCTGACGGCGCAACTCTCCCACCGTCTCTTTTTACAGCCTGAGAAGCTAGGAAGAGTCTCTTCTGAGTCTTTCTCCATCCATTATGCAGCTCTGGGCTATGTTATCTCTTATCTGATGGTGGTCTGTTAAGAGAATCTTGCAAGTCTGAAAGTACAGATCTCCTGTAAATCTCTCTTTTACAGCCTGAGCAGTTGGGGCAGTTTATTTCTGAGTTTCTTCCTCTGCCCGTTATGCAGCTGTGGGCTATGCCCTCTCTTATCTGACTGTTCTCTAAAGCTACATTAACAGAATCTTGCATGTTATGAAAGTACAAATTGGGAAATTTGTTCGGTCGCTCCTGCCAGCGACACTCACCGATTACCCACTGGATCCAGATGACATCGTAAGTGTTAGGCTCCGGGCTGAAGTCTTGCAACCCACAACAGAAGTAATTTCGCACCCGTTGGCCTTCCGTCCCCAGATACGTCCTGGCCTTATTCAGGAAGTCTTCCGTCACGTCCACCATGTCCACAGCTTTGAAAAGGGGCAGCAATAGTCTCTTTGTAATCCGCCCAATGCCGGCGCCACAGTCTAAGGCCAAGGCTGTGCCGGTCCTGTTTGGGCCGTCCTAGACAAAAAAAACAGAGTCCATGAGGGCTAGGAACCTGACCCTCAAAAGCAAGCAATGTGTTTCACCCTTCTTCCCCGCCAATTTGATTCAAAATGAAATCCTGCTCGCCCCCCCCCGCTCATCTGTTTAATTCCATTGTTTATTTTTATTGTTTTATCCCTTTATTATTGTTTTTGTCATTTTACATTGTTAGAGAGAAAGGGAGAGAGAGACCGAGAAAGAGAGAGGGATAAATAGAAATAAGAGAAAGAGAAAAAGAAAGAGAGTCGGGAGGGGGGCACAGGCCAGCCAGGAATCTGCCATCACCTCCTCTACCAAATCTGCTCACCCTCAAAAACCGGAGCAAAAACTTTCTGGAGCTGCTGATGTCGATACTGGAAATGTGCCCGTAGCCCCCCAGCATCCCATCCACGGTGGGGGGGATGTCCTTCCAATATTTTTCAGCCTTGGAGTAGAATTCCAGCTCATCTTCCACCCCGTCGCTGGCCATGGGTGCAGTTTTCGTCTTCCTCCAAAAAAGCCAGGCGGGTTTGTGACGCTGGGTGGGGTTCCCCCTTTGGTAAGGGGAGAAAAAAGCAGGAGGGGGGGGTTAAAAAAAAACACCAACCCAATAATTCTGAGGCCGGATAAAAATGCAGCTTCCTCCTGTTTAAGGTGCAAAAAAAAACAAAAACGCCTAGCCACAGGATTTGTACCCATCTCCCAAATTGTCAAATTGGGGGTCACTCTGTCAATCAAATCGTTCTGACGGTAGTCAATCAGCTGAGTTGGGGTGCCTAGTCCCCATTTGGTTTAGTTTAGGCTGAACCCCTCATTCTGGCCAGTAATTTCTACACATCTCCCTGTCTTGCAAAGCAATTTAGCTGCCGTTTTCAGCCCCCGAAAAGTCGGGGTTCCCTAATTTTATCCAATGCTTCTCCTCCCCACCCTTCCCACCTCTACCTCTCCAACAGCTGATATTCAGTGATATTACACAAAATGCAACATTCCCCTGGGGTGGTTATAAAGGGCTGCTGTTTTCCTCTACCCTCCCCTTCTGGCTTTCCTTGCGCATGGTAACTTTCCAAGGCTGTTTTTTTTTAAAAAAGTTTTTAACTGGTTAGCAAGCTGGTGAGGTAGAAATAGCTGAAATAAATCATACGCTGCTTAATAACCACGGATTGATCTGTCCTCCGAGGAATTTAATCTGCTTTTTAAAGCCATTAGGGCTAAATGCAATTAAACAAAGCACTGCAAATCACATTTCGGCCCTTTGATCCAGATCTTTGAATAGCTCTATTACGGAATTTCGCAGAGGGAGGGGTAAAAGGCTGGGGGCTTACGGGGGTTTGGCTATTCCCAGGGTACAAAATGGACAGATGTAGAATGCAGGCTGTGTCGTAATTGCCAAAGTATGTGTGACCAACATGACGGGCCTTGGGGACTAAATATATACATTCGTTAGGGGAGACGCCATTCCGTAGTCCAATTATGGAAACAGGCTCTCCCTATGGGCCCCTAATGAATTATCAGTCCTAACAAGGCAGGTAACACTAAACCAGGGTTTTAAATCAGGGATTGATTGCCAAGGAGCCATTTGTAGCCCAAGCCAAGCTACAATGGTTGGGTACGTGTCTCCCGTAGCCTCCTCTGCCTGGGTTCTGACCCCCAATTAGCCCGACGTGCAAATCAAGCCAGGTTTAACCCTAGTCACTAAGTTCCTTTCTTCCGTAAAACTATTTCTTCAGCCAGGCATGGCTGTGTGAATAAGCCTCCTTCGTTAATAAGCCTGGATATGCTGACCTCCTTAGGACAAGGCTTGGCAATTTCTCCCATGGTGTAATTATTTAAAAACAATTGTTGTGTGAAGGTGGCTTTTAAATAATTTTAAAAGTTGAGCCATCGCAGCAGGTGCATTCACACAATGGAGAAATTAAAGAGATGTAATGCTTTAATGGAATGCATAAAACAGTCATTTGTTGCTGGCCAAAGAATTCGGACTAGGCCCGGATCCTGTCGATTAGTCAGATCGTGGTTTAACATAACCCTGGTTTAGTTCAAATCCTAACCTACCCCTTTGCTCTTTGCTCTCCAACAGAGCAAACGGTCTTGCTGTGTTTAAGGTGAACTATCTCTTAGTACTAAACCTACTATTTATTCAAACCCTGATTAAAGATCCTGGCCTAGCACTGTGTTACAAAAATAACCGAATTAGCAAGGCTAGGACCAGGGGGAAACGGGCGTGACCAGCAGGTGGGTCAGCCCCAAGACGGAGAAGGAGCACCTTAAGCGCCACCTGCCTTATGAACCCAACGCAGCCATCAGGATGGAGCGCAACGCGGCTTCGGGGGCTGCGCCCGTGCCGCGTGAAGATATAACGTGTGAACCGGGTCGGGTTGCTCTGCCGCCGTGTTTGGGGGGAAGGGGCGACGTGGGGGGAGGGGGTGCAGGGCAAGGCAAGGCAAGGCAGACAGCCACCCCTACGAGGGGCTGGAGGGAAGGGGCTTAACCCAGGCACGCCCAACTACTGCCAGCAGTGTGGACTCGGATTCCTCAAACGGGCGCAGGGATTCAGCTGGACCCCAATTTAGAAGCGTAAAGGGGGAGGGGGGCTTTCCTCCCCCTGCAGGACAACGGAGGAGACCCCCCTGCGCCCCCTCCCAGCGCCGGAGCCAGCCACGTGGAGAGGCAGGCAAAGCCGCATTGGGGGGTCGCCTGCTCCGGAGTCGCTCCGCTTTTCCTACCGCCTCTTCCCGGTGGGAACTCACCGCCGGGAGAGCGGCCGGGGCGGCTGCGGGAAGCACGTCCGCTCCTCCGCGCTGCCCTGGCCGCTTGGCAAGGCGCCTCCTCCGGCTGACGCTCCGCCTGCGGGCACCTCTCCTCTCCGGCGCGCCTCGCCAGTGCGCATTGGGCCGGCCAGTCTCCTCCTCCGCCGCACGCAATTTCCTTCGCTGCCCGGGCGGAGGAGGAGGAGGAAGAGGAAGAGGAAGAGGAGGGAGGGAGCCACAAGAGCGCAGGGATCGCGGCTGGCCGTACGCAACAGCCCCGGCATCACAAAGGGCTGCGCCACCGGCCGGCCCAGAAGGCGCTCAGAGCGCGCTCGGGCGCTCCGGGAAGCGCATCCTCCGGCTGAGCGAGGCAGGAAGGCCCGGGCCCCCTTCTTCCAAGCGCGGGGTGCCAAGAAGGCCGCCCCCGGTTTGGGCATCGGCTGGCTTGGAGCTCCTCGTTCGGAGGGTGCACATCTGTAACGATGCAGGACAGGACAAACCAGAATGGCTTCAGGTCTCCAGCCTGAGCAGGGGGGTGGACTAGGTGGCCTCCAAGGTCCCCCAGAAAAGAACAGGTGGTCATGGACTTATGGCCACAATTGAGAGCAGATACAGGTGAATTGGTCAAGTATATATTTGAAAATAGAATAGAGCTGGAAGGGACCTTGGAGATCTTCTAGTCCAGTCCCCTGCTCATGCAGGAGAAGTTTGAATTTATCTAACAAAAAGTGTTGCAAGTGAATCAGGCAAATGTTTATGAAAATAAAAATTGTTGCAAATGAACCGTGCAAATATTTTTTGAAAATAAAAATTGTTGCAAGTGACTTGCAAATATTTATGCAAATAAAAATTGTCGCAAGTGAATTGTAAATATTTATGAAACAAAAATTGTTGCAAGTGAACCAGGCAAATGTTTATAAAAACAAAAATTGTGCAAATGAATTAAGCAAATGTTTTTGAAACAAACAAAAAAAGATACAGTACGCCCTCAAATATACCAGTGCTAAAAAAATCAGGAAAAAAATAGAATAAGTGCCATTTGTAGACACTATGCTAACTAAAAGTGTTAACGTAGAACAGTCTTTCTCAAACTTGGCCTCTTTAAGACATGTGGACTCCAACTCCCAGAATTCCTCGTTTCGCTCATTTTCCCCCTCCCATATAGAAAAGAAGTCCACCCACACTTGCTGGGGTATTTGGGAGTTGAAGTCCATATGTCTTAAAGTGTCCACGTTTGAGAAACTCTGATAGAAAACTAGCGCAACCTTTAAATGTTATTAAATCCAGAAGAGAGGGATTTTTTTTTTAAGCTTAGCACTTGCTATGAGACCAGCCCAGGATTGTTTGATGGTTTACAGTAGTCTATTTGACAAACACAAGATAATTCAGAACCCAGGTCCTGGGGACCGTCTGAAGGCAGTGTCAGAAAAGGACTACTGAACAAGCTTGGGGTTTAAACAGAATTACAGAATAACAGAGTTGGAAGGGACCCGGGAGGTCTTCTAGTCCACCCTGTACCATTCCAGACAAATGTCTGTCCATCTTTTTCTTAAAGACCTCCAGTGATGCAAACAGAGGCAAACTAATTTGGCCTGTGGTGGGGAAGGCACTGGACTAGCAACCCAAGGAAGCCTGAGTTCTAATTCTGCTGGTTGACTTTGGCCAATCCCTCCCTCTCAGCCCAACCCATCTTAAGGGTTGTGGGATGGGGAAAATAGGAGGAAACACACCTAGCACCTTCAACTGTAAAAGGAGGGGGATATATATGAGCTGTGATGGCACAAGGATTAGCAGACTAATTCTGCCCACTGCCGGCAGTTCGATCCTGACCAGCTCAGCCTCCTGTCCTTGCGAGGTGGGTAAGATAAGAAGATGCTGGCTCTGTAAACCGCTTAGAGAGGGCTGTGAAGAGGTATGTAAGTCTGAGTGCCATCGCTATCAATTGTATAAACAGAGTATGGACCACACAACCATAATCACAGCAGTGTGGAGGAATTGTCCATCACAAGGAGGACCAGGAATGTCATCGGCCACATGCGGACCAAAATGGCTGTCTGAAATACAGCCTTCCTGGGATCTGGGGAAGAGGACCTGTTTGCGGTCGAAATAACAGGAAATGGAAGTATTTTTACCTTTGTATTACATTAATAAGGGAAGGTGCAGGCTGTTGCTGCAGAATTCAGTTGGCAAAATACCGGTAATGGAACTTACCAGTAACGATGCTAGCCAATCAAAAGGAAGAGAGGCGGGTGGCCAAGATGGAGGTTATTGGGTGCTCGATGGATTTGGGGATTCTGGTGGGGAGGGGGGAACCCTCCAAGCCCAGGGTTGGTGGCCCCAGGATGGGACAGAATCACTAGAGTTGTGTTTCTCAAGCTGGGCAACTTAAGATGGGTAGACCTCAACTCCCAGAATCCTACCATGCTGACTAGGGAATTCTGGGAGTTGAAGTCCACACCTCTTAAAGTTGCCAATCTGGAGAGGAAAAAAAAAGCACTGCTTTTGAGTTAGGGAGCTAATTTGGTCTTTCCAGCACCAGGCTAGAAAGCAGGAGATCATGAGTTCAAGTGCTGCCTTAGGCATGAAAGCTGGCTGGGTGACTTTAGGCCAATCACCAGGAGACGACGAGTTCAAGTCTATCTATCATGACAGTTGTAGCATCCTGGGGTCGCATTTAAGGGGGAACCCTGGATTCACTTAAAGACTGTGATTACTTTAACATCTACAGGGATTTGCTTAACCATCAGGGTCATAAATAGCGGTCC